CGGCCCGGATCGCGAATGGGGGAGGGGAGGGACCAGGGGGCGCGAAGAGGGGGAGGAGAGGCGGGCCTGGAGCCCCCCGCTGCCGGCGGCCACAGGGCGGCTGGACCAGGAGATGCGTGTCCGGCCCAGGACGGGAGCCTCAGGCCAGGGAGGGGCAGAGGCTGGGCCTGAGGCCTGGACTGGTCACTGGGCGAGGACCTGGTTCCTGCCCGAAGGATGAAGACTTGTCTTTAAGGATGACAACGTGCAGGAAGGGCCCGTCAACTGATGTACTGACTCTGGGCCCACAGCACCCTCTCTCATTGCCTAACCTGTGTCCCCATCTCTTCTCTGAGGTGTCTCGTCATTATAGTGTTCCCCAGGACAGAGACCTAGCCAGAAGCAGGCAGTGTTCTGCTTTCTATCTAGTGACAGTGTTTCCTCTTCACTCTAACCTGTCCTTGGGCCCATTCAACCATCACCCTCTTGCTTTCTCACCCTCTTTCTTCATCCAGGGCACCTTCTGCCTCTCCAGCCCATCCCCAACCTCCTTTGTCTTGGTTTCCTGGTCATGACTGCCTCTCTGTCCCCTCCCGCCCCCACATGTCCACCATCCTCCCAGCTATCCCAGCACCCTCCTTCCTAATCTTGGGAGGCATCTCGTCTGGCTGAACTGGAGAATTCCGGGATCTAGGCCATACTCCTTAGCAGACAGCCCCATCCTTGGGAGGAGGAACAGGAGAGAGCCTGAGGAAGAACTGAAGGTGGGGGGAGGGGATGATGGGAACAAGGACAGGCCAGGAGGCCCTGAGGACAGAGACTGTGGGGAGACCCGGATTGAGGGGAAAGCAAAGGAATCAGAGTCGGGGCCAAAGGAAAAGGGGGGCCAGAAGGGAGGTATTTGCGGGGGAGGTTTAGCAGCTGTCTTTCCTAAGACAGGGACACATGGGCCTGGTTATTCCTCTTGTCACATATGGAGTGGTAGAAGATGGAAGAAGAAAGATATGGCAAGCAAAGGAGGGCACGGGCACAGAGATAAGCAGGCTGCTGGGTCCCAGCAGAATACCTAGGTCCAGGCTTAACACACACATTCACGTGTTCACATACACCCCACACCTTCCAGTCCTCTCAAACTGCCAAATCCTTTCCTCATAACACTGACCCCTAATAAGATCATTCTCTAATATAGGCGATACCCAGATTCCTGCTTGAAAAGGGGGAATGACAATATGGGACTCCCTAGGGGGTTATAGGAGAGAAAAGCAGGAAAGCAAGAGTCCTACTGTATTTCAGCAGCAGGTGTGGTGACCAGGAAAAAGAAATTTGTATAGGAAGGACTTGAAAACCCCACCAATCTTAAACCAGACCTCTGTGCCTCTTCCCCAAGGACAAAAATGTCCGGCCATATTCCTCCTGGAAAAAAAACTCTGTTCCTCTCCCATCTCCTTCCCCAGACACGTGCCAGGTTTCCCATCTCTTAGGAAAAGACAGATCCCCCTATCCAAATCCACCCTGTGATATGTGTGGGTGGAGGAGCTGGGCTCAGTTAGTGGACCATGGTCCAGGCAGAGGCTCCAGGTCCAGCGCGGGTGGGAGGAGAAGGCGTCACTTCCGGGGGACTTCACCAGTCTCTGGTGGCTCCCTGCTCTGATTGGGCAGAAGTGGCTCAGGCAGGCGTGTGACCCCACTGCCGTGGAGGGGCTGTGCCCCAACGCCACATGTCTTCCTACCCATCTGCTCCCCAGAGTGCTGCCTGCTATGCACCTGAGTCCTTGAGCCCTTCTCCACCCGGTGAGTGGCAAGAAGGATTTGGGGTTAAGTGAGGGTAGGAAGGGCAGAAAAGAGGAATTGGGCTCTCAGCTGGGGGAGGAGCAGGATAACTGGAACCTACAGGCACTGACCTTTGTCAAGAAGAGTGTAGCCTTCCCAGAATGGGAGGAGCAGGACAGAGCAGGGGGTAGGGGGTGGGGTGCTGGTTTCTGAGGGACTGATCACAGACTTGGTACAATACAGCACAGTCCTGCCTGGCCCTAGGGAAAGGGGAGATGGGCCCAGGGAGAAAATAAGAAAGAAGGTGCATTTAGGGCTTAGGGAACATAAGTACCAAGACAGACACAGCCCAATCCCTATTCTCACCCAGTCATTCCTTGTTAGCTTAAGGTTCTGAATCTCAGGGCTGGGGAAGCTGGGTCAGGCAAGCCAGGGCACAAGGAGAGGGTAGTGGGAGGAGAGCTCATGCATGTTGACAGACCTACAGGAAATCCCAATATTGAATCAGGTGCAGGCCTCTTTGCACAACTTGTGAAAGGAGGAGGAAGCCATGTGGGGGGTCCTGTGAAGGAACCGGAAGGGATCTATGGAGGGGGGAGGGGAGGGGAGGCAGGTACAGGGCTATGAGACAGATAAGTTGGGTGTTTAAGGTCAGGTAAGCTAAATAAGATGGGCATCACCTTGCTCAGCAGGTGCCCATTCCTGGGCAACTCACCTCAGGAAGGAAGTCCCAAGACTGTTAGCCCATCTCTTTGCCTTGGATAAAGAGGTATTTCAGAACTTAGAGTGCAAAGAAAAACTCAAGGAGGATCTCCTGTCCTGCTGCTCTTTAGCTTTATGTGTGGAGGTAAATAGGGAAAGAATGAGAGGTTAATTTCTCCTAAACTTAGAGTGCAAAGAAAAACTCAAGGAGGATCTCCTGTCCTGCTGCTCTTTAGCTTTATGTATGGAGGTAAATAGGGAAAGAATGAGAGGTTAATTTCTCCTAAACCACCTTTTAATACTCGACCTCTAGTAGTCCCGGTTATCTTTGCCCAATTTCCCTCATCAACCCCACTCCCCAACACTGAAGCTACCCCTCAACACATTGTGCATGTTTGCTAGTTCCTCATCCTGGCCTTATATCCCATTTTCCACTCTCTTTTCCAGGGTTGCACCACAATACTTTCATTTTCTATCCCCATACCAGATAGAGATGGAATAGTTGCTCAGAATTTGAGGCCAATTAAGATGTGTGTGTATACATGTCCTGTCCTGCTGCTCTGGGGCAGGGGGTGGGGCGGGGAGTAGGAGCCCATATTAGATTCACAGGGGAGCCCTGACAAAGAGGAGACACCACATGCTGTAATCACAAGAAAACGCAGGAGCAGTCAGCTTCCGCAGTTCTAGGCTGGTCAGCATCTCAAGTCCTCCCAGCATCTGTTCCCCCTGCCAGCCAGTCTTTTCCTTGAAATCTGATTAAATGTTCATTATTCCTGTCACTTTCAGGATAGATTCCAGATGCTCTTCCTCGGCCCACCTGTGCCTCACCCCACTCTGCCCAGAAGTGCAAGAGCCCAAACCGCCTCCATGGCCTCAGGAAGGATTCAGGGGAGAGGCCCCATACAGGGAGCCACTCCAGCCAGACACCCCAGCCAGAATGGAGCTGACTGGTAAGAACTGGAGAGGCTACAGCCAGATCAGAACGTGGCAGAGAGGGAAAGAGAAAAGAGACATGCTGCAGGGGTTGCGGGCTGGAGGAACCCAATCTCCCAGGAATAAGGTGTCCAAGTAGCAGATTCCCTGGATTTCAGCTCTGGGTTTTAAATGGGAATTCCTGGACCGCTACCCAGTGATGATATCTTCCTTATCCACTCCTTTCAACCTCACCTCTCCTCATCTAAGAATTGCTCCTCGTGGTCATGCTTCTCCTAACTGCAAGACTAACTCTGTCCAGCCCGGTTCCTCCTGCCTGTGACTCCCGACTCCTAAATAAACTGCTTCGTGACTCGCATGTCCTTCAAGGCAGACTGGTGAGAATTCCCAAGCACTATCCCCTCTATACACTCAGCCGGTAAGATACCCTCACTCCCATCACTTCCTCTCACTCCCTGGCCCAATGATTATTCTTCCAGTATTGTCTTTGGTAAGACTACCACCTACTGATCACCACTCCCCAACAAGGATTATGATTCCCAATAGAGCCCTCTTTTAAAAGCTCTAGTCTGAACATATTACTCATGGAATATGTTCTTGGTCATTGGACCGCCATACCCCCTCTATTTCAATTCCCTTCTCCTCCCCCATCGATGTTTTTCAACAGAGCCAATGCCCAGACATTAACCCTTTGTCCATACCTGTCCTGCTGCCTGCTGTGGATTTTAGCCTGGGAGAATGGAAAACCCAGACGGTAAGAAAGCCATCCCTTACTTTGGCTTCTCTAAGTTTTGTTTTCATCAGTTTCCTACAGCTTCTCAAGGATTCTTCAAAATTCTTGAGCTCCCTAAGAATATCTCACCTTCAGTTTGGCCACCCTAACCCAATCTATATTTGCCTATGATGATATCCTGTAGACAAGATGATGGCTTATAGCCTTGCTATGTTAAATGGATTCAAAGCTGAACACCATGAAAAGCTGGATAGAAGTCTCCCACAGCCATGCCTTTAACCTATTCCCATCCAACCTTCTTAAGTTATCATGAAAAAGTAATACTGTGCTCTAATTTTCACCATACCTCCCTAGAATCAACTGCCTTTTGATGACTGGGACGAATTGAGTAAAATTGTAACGGACAGATACAGGGCAGACAGTTTAAAAAAAAAAAAAAAAGTAAGTCTGATCTGTCATCCACAGGTGACACCAAGCTAGGAAGTACCACTAACATAAAAAAGGACAATCAAGATTCAAATTGCTGAAAGCCTAGGTCAAAAACAAGGTGAACTTTAACAGAGATATATATATGATTCTACATGTGTAAATTAATTGAATAAAATCCTCTTCCAGTCTTCAGGCCACAATGCCCTGCTTCCCTCATTTAAACTTCTAGCCCTAGTACTTCCTATGAAAACTATCTGGGAGAGTTACATTGATCCCAAACTTAGCATGTAACGTTATTGAAGCATTTGTTTTAAAAGCTAGCAATTCTAGGCCACTTTAGATGTTCAGCACCCACGTTGTGGAAATATTCCTATCGCGCTTCTATTCTGAGTGGCCTGCACTTAAAAGTACTGGCCTGAGTACTGCATAACCTGCTCAAAACACATGCTAACTTATTAAGAGGGACCGTATTAAACTAACATGTGTCCAGAAGGAAGCAGTCTGAACAGTAAGAAGTTAGAAACATGTTATATGAGGAATGGTTTAAAAAAAAAAACAAAACCTGTCTGATTGGCTTGGAGAAAAGTCTTAGTCTTACGGTACAGCAAGAAGTGCTTTAGGGCCGGCCCGGTGGCGCACTCGGTTGAGTGTGGCGCTCCCGCCAAGGGTTCGGATCCCATGTAGAGACCGGTCCGCTCACTGGCTGAGCGTGGTGCGGGCGCGACACCGAGGGTTGCGATCCCATTACTGGTCACGAAAAAAGACAAAAAGGAAAAAAAAAAAAAGTGCTTTAGCCTGGGACCAGGAAACCTATTGGGAGGAGGCACTCCTTGCTTGATCACCTCTTCTACCCTTAAGACCTCTAGAATCCCCTTTCTTCTCTCAGGTCTTCTAGGGGGACTGGGTCAGGGATGATGGCTCCCTATAGTTCCCTTGTAGTTCCAGCTCTGCCATTTATTAGTCTGTTCCCTTCTTCTTTATCATTATGATAGAGTCTCATATCTACATTTAGTTTAAAAATCATATGATCCTAAGGTTTTGTAGCAGAAAGAGTAGATTTGCAACACTAGAACTAAGAGGTAAATGCGATAATAGGGCAGATTTCAGCAATGTAAGAAAAAAAGAACTTTTCTAGGGGCTGGCCTGTGGCTCACTCGGGAGAGTGCGGTGCTGATAACACCAAGGCCACGGGTTCGGATCCCATATAGGGATGGCCGGTTAGCTCAATGGCTGAGCGCGGTGCTGACAACACCAAGCCAAGGGTTAAGATCCCCTTACCGGTCATCTTTAAAAAAGAAAATAAGAACTTCTGACTGCAACTAAGTGTAAGACCAGGCTGGGTTAGTGGACACTGGAGTTATTGAAGTGGAGGCTGATGACCAATTGTCGGGAGACTGTGAAGGAATTCCTGTGCTGGGTGGGACCTTGGTCCTGTCCAATTCTCAGCGCCTATGATTCATTCTGCTGGCTATTCCTACAGGCTCCCCACCCGCTATTAGCATGCCCTTTGAAGGAGTCCGCTTCTCTCTTCTATCTCTTTCCCAGGAGCAGACCAAGGCACAGGACATTCTGGGAGCAGTGACCCTTCTGCTGGAGGGAGTGATGGCAGCACGGGGACAACTGGGACCCACCTGCCTCTCTTCCCTCCTGGGACAGCTTTCTGGACAGGTCCGCCTCCTCCTTGGGGCCCTGCAGGGTCTCCCTGGAACCCAGGTAAGCACCAGTCAGGGTATCTATAGAAACTGTCCTTTCCTCACTCAGTCCCCCTAGAAGACCTCAGGGAAGAAGTAAATTCTGAGGATCTTGAGGGTAGAAGAGTTGATTTACTAAGGAGTGTTCCTTCCCAGTCATAAGCCTGTGTGCTGGTACCCATCTTTCCCACATAGACAAGGGAGGCCTGATATCTAGCCCTGTACTCTGGCCTCAGGCTCATCCTCTGCCCTCAGCTTCCTCAACAGGGCAGAACCACAGCTCACAAGGATCCCAATGCCATCTTCCTGAGCTTCCAACAACTGCTCCGAGGAAAGGTGCGTTTCCTGCTGCTTGTAGGAGGGCCCACCCTCTGTGTCAGGCGGGCCCTACCCACCACAGCTGTCCCAAGCAGTACCTCTCTATTCCTCACACTAAACAAGCTCCCAAACAGGACTTCTGGATTGTTGGAGACAAACGCCAGTGTCTCAGCCAGAACTACTGGCTCTGGACTTCTGAACAGGCTGCAGGGATTCAGAGCCAAGATTCCTGGTCTGCTAAACCAAACCTCCAGGTCCCTGGACCAAATCCCTGGATACATGAACAGGACACATGGACTTTTGAGCGGAACTCATGGACTCTTTCCAGGACCCCCACCCAGGACCCTAGAATCCCCGGACAATCCCCATGGAACTTTAGACACAGGTGCTCTGCCACCCAACCTCCAGCCTGGATATTCTCCTTCCTCAACCCATCCTTCTACTGGACAGTACACACTCTTCTCTCCTTCACCCACCTTGCCTACCCTCATGGTCCAGCCCCACCCCCTGCTTCCTGACCCTTCTGCTACCATACCCAACCCTACCAGTCCTATTCTAATTGCAGCCCACCCTCACTCCCAGAATCTGTCTCAGGAAGGGTAAGGTACTCAGACACTGCCAACATCAGCATTGTGTCTCATGAGTCCCTGGGAGACAACTGCAGCTATACCAAATTTCCTGCTTTCACCTAAAACCCAAAGCCCCGGTAAAGAGGGACAGAAAAAGGGATCATTTTTCACTGTACATTAGAAAACTTCAGAAGCTATTTTTTTAAGCTATCAAAAATATTCATCTGAGCAGCTAATTATCTTTGGTCTATTTTCTACACAAATTTGCAACTTACTAATTCTCTACGTGCTCTTTTTCACATGCTAATTCTGCAAAGGCCTGGACTGGCTTGGCCTTTGAACAGAGGTAAAGACTAATCTTGTGTCCAAAAACAGAGAAAGGGTAGTTTCCTTTGCTTCAAGATTAAGGCCCTCCTATGTGCCCCTCCCCTTTACTATCATTCTCTGTGGGACTTTGTTTGATGCCGTGTTCTTAAGAGATACTTACTCTTGAGAAATGAATAAGTTGTCTCTTAGAAAGGCTGCCCTCACAACAAAGCTGAGCCTGTATAAAGAATAAATGAGAGTACCCAAAAGGTAACCAAAGAACAGGGGAAAGATGTTTTTCACAGGGGGCAATAGATTCCCCTGACCACCCCCACACCCCTCAAAAAAAGCTAACAGGAAACCTTGGAGAGCCTCACACCCAGGTAAGCCCATGCAGACAATTCAGTAAAGGCAAGACCTGGGTGTGACAGCTGAGCAAACAGCTGGAGCTTCAGCAGCTCAGCAGGAGGCTTCTTCGCCAGGCATGGGCTCCTGCCTCCCTCCTGTGGAGGTCAGGAGAAGTGCAGGAAGTGGCATGAGTCAGGCTTCTTGAGCTCACACAGCAGGACAGCACAAGTCAAGTTGAAGGCTCATTTCCCAATTTCCCACAAGTGCATCTAAAAAGCAGCCCTATGTGACCACCATAAACTCTGCTAGGGGATCTCTAGAAAAGAAGTCAGACTTATGGGGCTTTACAAGCACAAGTCAAGTTGAAGGCTCATTTCCCAATTTCCCACAAGTGCATCTAAAAAGCAGCCCTATGTGACCACCATAAACTCTGCTAGGGGATCTCTAGAAAAGAAGTCAGACTTATAAGCGCTGCCTTGGTGCTCAGGAAGAGGTTTGTGTGGCACAAAAACAAAAACTCCATTACAGAGGTCAACCTGCTACCACCAAAGGAAAACCAGTGGAAGCTTTTTCCTCTCCCCCATGCCAAAGGAAAGGAGGAAAGGCTACTATGTAGGTAGAGGAGCCAGGAACTCAGAGTTCCAAACACTGCCACAAATACCACAGGATCACCAAAGGCATTCCAAACCAGTAGAATGAAAGCCAATGTGCCAGGATCCTTATGTACATTACCTTTTTTAACACTCACACAACTCTGTAAGGTAGGTACTATCATCTCTGTTATACAGATGAGGAAACTGAAGCTCAGAGAAGCCAGGTGAGTTCCCAATGGTTACATAGCCTATGAGCAGGAAAAGAAGGAACACTCTTGTCTGTCTTACTCTTGAGTCCAAATTCTCCCCAGTGTGGTGCACTTTTGAATATATCATTCAGTAATCCTGTTTCCTGGGAAAGATTTCCAAGTCCTTATGGAGTAAATACATCAATAACTAAAGAGTTCTGAGTGGAAAACTAAAGCTCTTGGTGGGGTGACCATTTAGACATCTCCTGGTGCCCCTCTCTCCCTTCATGGACAGAACTGTCACCATGGAGAAAGAATCAACAAATGCATAAAGCTCAAAAATCTTGTCTGGTGTTAGTTTCTGCATAGGAAAGAATTAGTTCATCCACGCTACATATTCCAGAATGCAATCAAGGGAATGGTTAAGTGGAAACTAATTTACTAAAATACTGAAGTAGGTTAAATTTAATGACCAAATGAAACATCTTATGGCACATGATACAGCCAGCACACATAACAAGATATGCCAAAGGAGCCAAAGAATTATGGGTTCTTGGCACAGATAAGAAGCAAGGATGGCAAAGCTGCCAATGTAACCAGAAAGTTCCAGGCATCTGGTATTGGCATTTGACTTACTCTAGCTCAGGGAAAATGCAAAAAACTCATGGGCTCCTCCAATGTGAACTAATCTGCCCCTTTTAAGAATTAACCCATTCTCAAATCATTCTGTCTGGCTGATTCTACCCCTTCTACTCTGACAGAAAACTAAAAACCTTTACAACCAGAACACTCTTATCCCTATTCAACTTTACACCACTTCTCTTTCTTCTGCCATTCTAAGGCAGCCACGACAGTCTGCTATGATACCCTGAACTATTACTGGTAATTAAGTTCTCCCACTATAACCCAAATCCATCCTTCTGCAACCCCCCAAAAAACCTGACCTCATAGAAAGGTTTTAGGATTCCGTAAAAATTTCTACCAACCCCCAGTGCATCTCCTACTACCCCTCCCCCCACATAGTGAGGTAAAAGAAACACCTTTTCCTCCTCCCTGCTGAGACCATTCATTTTCAACCCATTTCCCTAAATACTATTTCTAACACCTCATGTAAAGACCTGAAAATGATGGGGAAGGAAATACCCCAGGCATCCCAGCAGGGAGATCAGCTCCCATGGCAAAACCAGATCAAAACAGACAACTGCTTAATACACACTCACAGAGAATCTTTCTGGATTATTACCCTGAATTTCCCAGGGGAAAACAGGGTCCCATTTACTTTCTCAGAGACCTCTAACACTAGGCTGAAGGGCCAGTTCACATGCTGGAGTCCTTATAATCATCACCATTTCCTTTTTCTTCCCCCACTTATAAGCGAGTGACTGCAGTTAAGACTGTTGCATTGTCCTGGGCACTGGCACTGGACTGCCAACCTCATTGGTATTGCTGCCCTGTCCACTTCAATGGTCTGTGCAGCAGTTCCCTGTTCAGTGACACTAGTAAGAAGCACCACCACTTACCCTCCTTCCCAGGTCCCCACTGGAATGGAGAGCAGAGCCAGCTTCTCCACCTATTTCTATGACCACTGAGTTCTCTCTTCCTACTCTCTTCAAGTCATTCCCCATGCCTATGTCTAAAAGCCTCTACCTAAAACTTGTATTAAAATGATGAACATTTCCAGGCCATGCAAGTGACTCATTCAAGTCAACGTGAACTGACTTCCTATGAGACTAAAAGTGTCGAAAGGATACAAGCAGTGCTCCTTGCCAACTCAAAATTCTATGCCAAGTGGGTGGTATCTTCTGTGCCTGGGGTACCCTCAGAGGCCAAAAGGACAAAACTCTCTTTCCCAGACAGAAAACGACATTGGAGGATAAATGTTCGGAATAGTCAGCCAGAAGATTCAGATAACCCTGAACTCAGATACCAAAAGGTTGGGATAAATCTTACATTGGCATGTGATCATCTGGCTTTGGGCCAGAAACAATATCCCACAGATAAATTGGAAAAAATGATTTTAAAGTAAACAGGGAAAAAAAATTTTTAAGGGGACAGTCTGAAAAAGTAAAGTTTAATTAAAAAGTCATATCCACAAAACAACTTCTGATTCACTTTAAGCTCTCCCACTGTATCTCTCACAGGCAAGTCAGTTTTCCATTGAGTCCAGACCAGCTAAAGATGCACCCACAATGAACAGAGACAGCCCCTCCTTCTCAGGTGAACAACGAAACTGCTATTCAGGTTTGAACAATATCCATGTCCTGAGTGACTAAGCAGCAATGCTGGTTTCCCACGAGGTTCAGAAGGCCAGTTTCTTCATCAGCAGATAAACTCTGGAGTCAACCTCAAATCCATGTAGATTGTTGGCATCACCCTGAAGCCTCATGAGCAGGCCCCCATAGGACACGTAGGCAGAGCTGAAACAAAAGGCCCCAGTCCCATGAATCTGAGGTCTGGAGCAGCTGCTACTCAGCGGCTCTCCATCCCAGCCCAAAAAAGAGAAGAGGCACCCTTATAGAGCTTTGTCATTAGCAAACAAAATTAAGACAAAGATAAATGCAGATGTGTGCAAGGTAGTGCATCTGAGGTCTGGAGCAGCTGCTACTCAGCGGCTCTCCATCCCAGCCCAAAAAAGAGAAGAGCCACCCTTATAGAGCTTTGTCATTAGCAAACAAAATTAAGACAAAGATAAATGCAGATGTGTGCAAGGTAGTGTTCTTTATATTAGTAAAGGTGGAAAACACCCACATGCCCAAAATTAGGGGAATGGTCAAATTAATTAAGACACAGTCATGTGCCACATAACGACATTTCATTCGAAAATGGATCACATATACAACAGTGGTCACATAAGATTATAACGGAGCTGAAAAATTTCTATCACCTAGTAACTTCATAGCAGTCTTAACATCGTTGTGCAATTATTCTTTTTATAAATTTAATGTAGCCTAAGCATACTGTGTTTATAAAATCTACAGCAGTGCACAGTAATGTCCTAGGCCTTCACTCACTCACTGACTCACCCAGAGCAACTCCCAGTCCTGCAAGCTCCATTCACAGGAAGTTCCCTATACAGCTGCACCATTTTTTATCTTTTACACCATATTTTACCTTTTCTATGTTTAGATATGTTTAGATACACAAATATTCACCATTGTGTTACAGCTGCTTACAGTATTCAGTATAGCAACATGCTGTACAGATTTGTAGCCTAGGAGCAACATGACTGTATATCTATTTACTGGAATGTTATTCAGCTATTAAAATGCCAGGAAAAGCTTTAAACTGACATGGGGAAATATGCTTTATATAACGTTAAGCAAAAAGAGCAGAAGAAAATATTGTGATAAACAACATGCTCTCAAAGAAAAAAATCGACATTAAGAAAAACTAAAATATTAAAAAAATGTTTATGTGAAAGATTCCCTCTGGGTATGGAATTATAGGTAACTTTTTTCCCCCTTCTTCACATTTCTTCTCTGCTTTTCAAATTTCTTACAAAGATCACATATTGTTTTAATCAGATTTCAAAGAGAAGAAAAAATAGTTGGGCAGGAAAACCATAGAACTAGGGATTGGGTTACAGAGTAGCAACACACACACACAAATAAACAAAAACAAAAAAGCCTAGCAGTTTAATCAGTTCCTGGGGAAGCAACTCTGCTTTGTACTTTACACAGCAAGACTATCAGTTTCCCATCTGGCCCACTGGGCCTTGAGGTCCTGACCAAGAGCAATGTGAGCAGCCTGTAACTCAGACTGGAAACTTCCCAGAACAGTTTCTCTCTAGGGTCCACCTAGGTCTGAGGTGCTTGAGGGCAAGGACGTAACACGGGAAGCAGGAACATGGCCCAAATTCTTTTTCCCCTTAAGAACAGGGAGGGGGAAAAAAGATTCTCACAAAACTATGGAACTTACAGGCGTGTTGCTGCTTCGGTAGAAGTTTCATCTCCCTCAATCCTGTACACTTTTCCATACATTACATACTCAAATTGGTCAGCCCTGTGGAACAATAGTGGCAAAGTTATTCTTTTTTTTTTTTTCCTTTTTTGTCTTTTTTCGTGACCGGCAACGGATCGCAACCCTCAGTGTCGCCCCCGTACTGGACCGGGACCGGCAACGGGATCGCAACCCTCAGTGTTGCC